CCCTCTCTCTCTCTCTCTCCCCCCCCCCGCTTGTGCTCTTTCTCCGTCTCTCAAAAATAAATAAACATTAAAAAAATTAGGATTCAGTCTGATCATGTCCAGAAAGCACCTGGCCCAAAATAGATTCTCCCCTACGTGGAGCAAGAAGCAGAGCTGTCTGACTTCCAAGACACCTTCTGTGAGGCTAGGAAGTACAGAGCAGCCTCAGAGACCTCACCCACCAGGCTAGGAGAGGCCAGGCTCCAGACAAGCACACTAGCCAGTGTGGACAACTCTGGAGCAGTAGTCGGCATGTGTAGAAACATAACGACCTGGACAGGGTGGGTCCTGTCGCCCTGGCTCATGGGCAGGGCATCCGAACCTATTCTCAGCTCTGGCTGCATATCAGCACTGCTTGGGTTAATCAGGCTTGGGAACCTCAGCTCTGGAGGGAAATCAAAAACAGGAGACATGATTTGAGGCTCTGAGATCCTTAGCACCTCAACTGGTGTGAAAACAGATGTGACAGATGTGAGACAGTTCAGGGATGTCTTCTTGGTTTGCAAGGGGCTCTCTAGCAGAGGATGGGAAAATGCTATTTTGCATCTTCCCTGGGGATTCAAGAGGAAATAACTGAACTCAACAGTAAAAGGATTAGTAGCAATGTAAGGACGAATTGTCTTCCAGTGACAGATGCTGGACTATGGGAGGGACAGCCAAAATAATCATGGAGCCTCTCTTCCAAGGCTTTCAACCAAGCAGAGATTGCCATCCAGAGGAGAGGGCGGCAGCAGACTCCCATCCAAAGGCCCCAGAAACCTTTCACCTTGATATGCACTTTACTCTGTCCTCTGCCCAAAATATCACACTCCTCCTTTTACCTTTCTTCTTCATTGGAGTAACCCACTGGCATCTCCTTCCACAGGCATCTCAGAAAATGTAGCCATGCCTTCAATTCCAGACTTGGTAGAAGAGAAGCTTCGATCACAACTGGAGGAAGAAAAGAGAAGGTACCCATTTTTTCACCCACACACATCCTGACCCCAGGCTCCTAGGGCTCTCAGGGATGACGCATGTGTCACCCGGGGCCAGACAGAGTGGCCACTCCCCAGCCCAGGTCTGGAGCTGCTCTGGGAAGTGGGTCCAAGTAGTTGGGTCCTCAAATAGCTGGAGGGAGTGCTGCCTTTGAGCAGACAGATATGGAATGCCGAAACCATAGGCAGAATGAGTTTGGAATCAGGAGCAGAAAGCCTAGCTGGGCCCTGGAGTCGGTAGAGAGGTTGGCTTGTTGGCACCTTGACCAGCCCAAGGTCCCAGGCTGCAGCTCAGGAGTGGCTAGCCTTATCTCCTGCTGCCATCTAGGGGAGTCGGGAAGTATGACCACAGAGGTCTTCCGCCCGCAAATCTACCCTGCTCTCCTCCTGAGTCTCCTTATCTGCGGGGCGACCTGAGATCATCAATCACACCCTCTTGCAGCCATTTAGGGTGCCAAAATGACTCACTAACAGAGTAGGAACCTCCAGCATAAACAGACACACGGCCGTCACTGATACTCAGCATGGTCAAAGAATGTCACGCAACACTCCAGTCCAGCGTTGTATTTCATGCATTCATTTATGCATTCGACAAATGTTTGCTATCTCCTCCCTGCCATGGGGAGGCCCTGGGGAGAGCAAACAAGTCACCTTTCCAGCCCTCGAGGAGCCCATGGTGTCATTATGACACGTGCCATCCCTGGGCTAGCTGGGCATGTACCCTGAGCAAACCCGGTCACTCTGGCCGCCCTGCCCCCCCCGCACACACACACATCCCTGCCACCTGAGACTTGGGGAGGACAGAGCCCCACTCAGCAGGCCCCCTGAACCCTCGTCATGACTGTGCTGTGCGTGTCCTGCCAGCATCCTCCTCCCAGAAAGCCTGGTGCTGCCCCCCCACACCGGCCCATGCATCTGTCCACCCCCTGGGTTTGCCCCTGGGTTAGCTTCTTTCTCCCTCACTCTGTATTTGTCCCATTTTCTTCCCAACCCACTCTTCTGGTGGCTTTGCTCCACTCTATGTTGTCCCCTTGGTCCACATTTCCTGCCTCAGGGTCATCTGGGGACCCAAGCTGTGTTGGCAGTTTGTCTGTTTCCTGTTGGACAACTTCCGATTGGTTGTTGCATGCCCCAAACCTATAGATGCAGTAACGAATGTATGGTAACTTTCGGTCCTCAACATGAAGGTGATCCAGCGGAATAGTGAGGCAGTTGAGACTGTGGTTTCTAGAGCCAGATGGCCTGGGTTCAAATCCTCGCCCCTGCCACAGAGCAAGTTATGTTTCCTCTCCTTGCCCCAGGTTCCAAATCTGTAAAGTGGAACATCTTCATAGGACCGAGACAAGGTCTGAATGAGTTTATTTATCAAGTGCCTAGAGGAATGCCTGCCCCTTAGTTAGTGCTCAGTAATGGTAGATATCCTTCTGGAAGAAGGGGGTATTCGGAGCATCTGGGTGGCTCAGTCGGTTAAGCATCCGACTTCAGCTCAGGGCATAATCTCGCAGTTCGTGGGTTCGAGCCCTGCATCGGGCTCTGTGCTGACAGCTAGCTCAGAGCCTGGAGCCTGCTTCAGATTCTGTGTCTCACTCTCTCTCTGACCCTCCCCTGCTCACACTGTCTCTCTCTCCCAAAATAAATAAATAAATAAATAAATAAATAAATAAATAAAGGGGGTATTCATCTCATACACAGAGCCCTTGGGCCTGCTGGACAAAAACACCTGGCTGTGCTTCTCTGTGATGGATGCAAGCCCTGGCCCTGTGCCCTGGCCTCTGTGGGCTCCTCTGGGTCCTGGCTCCTGACACCAGAGCGGCCCTGCCAGATCCTCAGGCTCAGACCCTGCAGCAACACTCTGTTCGTGACCCTTCCTCTTGCCAGTGACTTTCAAGACTCTTCCTTGATTCCACTGTAGGTATAAAATGATGTTCACACATCTGAAGGCCCTGAAGGTGGAGATCGAGCACTTGCAGCTGCTCATGGACAAAGCCAAGGTGAAGTTGCAGAAAGAGTTTGAAGCCTGGTGGACCGAGGAAGCCACCGGCCTGCAGGTATTAGCAGCTGTCCCCTTCACCGCCCCAGAGGCTGACCCACTCCTGTGTCCTGGGGAAAGTTAGGGCCTCTGGGGACAGGCTGTCAGAGGCAGGCCCACGTGCTCTCAGCCTAGGATCGGGAGGCAAGCTCTCATCTTAGTAATGAGGAATGCAAATGGTCAAGGACGGGCTGTCTCCATGCTCTGGTGCCTGCCACCTAGAAAGGTGGGCGATGGAAGGTGAGCCCAAACCAGTGGATTTGCCACTGTTGCTTTGTGTAGCATTCTCCTGCAACACCATATTAACAGCATTGGGTGTTTTTTATTACAGTCATATACAGTAAAGCCTTGGTTTGTGAGCATCATTCGTTCTGGAAACATGCTTGTAATCCAGAGCACTTGTATACCAAAGCAAATTTTGAGAACCATTGGCTCAGCTGTGATCATGTGACATTAGATGTACATACGACTTGTATTGCAAGGCCTCACTCATTTATCAAGTTAAAATGTATTAGAAATGTTTGCTCGTCTTGCGGAACACTCGCCAAACAAGTTACTCTCAATCCAAGGTTTCATTGTATATATGTGTGTGCTTATACATATGTGAGTATAGGTAAATATATGCTTCTATAATTTATGTGTACATTGTAGAAATTTTGAAAAATAGAGAAAAGCACAAAGAAGTAAAAATCACCATAACCCCACCATTGAAAGATAAGCAATATTATCACGTTGGATTATATTACTTTTTTCTCCTCTGCATATATTTCCATTTTTATTTTAAGTTTATTTGTTTACCTTGAGTCTGGGAAGGGGCGGAGAGAGAGAGAGAGAGGGAGAGAGAATCCCAAGCAGGCTCCGTGCTGTCAGCAAAGTCCAGTGTGGGGCTGGATCCCACAAACCACGAGATCATGACCTGAGCTGAAACCAAGAGTCAGATGCTTAAAGGACTGAGCCACCCAGGCTTCCCTCCTTATATTTTTATAAAAATGGAATCATATGGGCCTTCAAAGTATCATGAATGGCTTGTGTCCTGGGACTTCATGGTACAGCATGACCGCTCTTCCATGTTAGTGTTCTACATCATTCTAATGGCTATCACTCTTCCATCATATGAATTTATTTTAATCCACTTAATCTTTGCTTGCTTAATGTTTAGGTTGTGTCCAGTTTTGCACTGGAAACATGTTTGTAGAAAAATGCATATTTGCTAGACAGATTTCTGGAAGCTCTCTAATATTATGGAGGCTAAGATAACAAGTCAAGAAGAATTGATGCAAATGCCCAGGTCCAATTGTCCTCCGTAAGTCCTCATTTCTGGTATAATGGAGGTAGCTGGCAGATCTCTCAGAGATCATCTAACAGCTGATGCCTTCATTTCAAGGACAAGGAAACTGAGAGCCTAAGAAGTTATTTGGTCAAAAACACGCAGCCAAGCAGTAACCAGTGTGTTACCAAGTGGCCATGTTACCAGACAATAGAGAAGAATATTTGGATAAAACTTAATATACAAGATGACAAAGAAAACCAGTAAGACTGAAATAAAGTCATCAAAATATTTTTGGGGCGCCTGGGTGGCTCAGTCCGTTAAGTGTCCGACTTCGGCTCAGGTCATGATCTCACGGTTTGTGGGTTCAAGCCCCACGTCAGGCTCTGTGCTGACAGCCAGCTCGGAGGCTGGAGGCTGCTTCGGATTCTGTGTCTCCCTCTCTCTCTGATCCTCCCCTGCTCACACGGCCTCTCTCTCTCTCTCAGAAATAAATAAAACATTAAAAAAATATATTTTTAAAGCAAAGCTATGGTATAATAATATGTACACCACTTTACAAATGTATTAATGAGATACATTTATTAATATTGAACATAATTTCAAAGTAGTGGTGAACACAGTATTTCAGTATTTCTGCCACAGTGTAATATGATATGAAAATATCTTGTGATTTCCAGCTAGTGATGAAGTCACTGATACCACATATACTACTATGGTTTGTTGTCTACATTGTATCATTGAAAGAAATGCTAAATTTCAGGTAGAAGTTAGGAAAAAGAAAAGGGTCATTGATTCCCATCCACGTTCACAGCACACCTGGGTCCTGTCTGTTCTCCCGTTAAGACCCCTTCGTGGTAAGGCTGTCAGCCACTGCTGGTCCCCAAGGGAGTTTAGCCACTGAACAGTAGACGATGAGGGTCATCCTGTGTGACTCAGGAAGTGTCCAGGAAAGGCTGACAGATTCAGATGGCATATTTTACTCATCTAGGCAGCAAAAGCCAGAGCAGCCAGAGATGTCAGCTCTGTGTACCCTCTGCCCCACAGGATGTCACTGAAGCAGAATGGACCAGATGACTGCGGTAGGACTGATGGGGCACCCTGTTGCTGAGGAGTTCATTCTAGGCTGCCACTAGGCAGCTTTATAGCCTGCAGCTGTACACTGAATGAAGCGAGGCAGAAAGCCTTAAGCCTCATCAGAACATGGGAGGTGATGAGAAACTGTCCCATGACCGACCCCCAGGGAGACAGCAAAGCAAGTGGGAAACAGACTAGTAGCATCTGCTCATGAGCCTGCTATGCTGTCAGGTTCTGGGAGAACCACAGGGCGCTCTGCCAAGACTCAGAGAAGCTGCAGTTGAGGCCTTGCTCTCAAGCCCTGTGTGGAGACACGCAAGGTTGCCAGGGCACCACGGTGGAGCCGTTCCGTGGCAGGGAGTGCTGTGGATTTCTCCTGCCTCTGGTAGCATCTCTTTGGGACAAAGGGAAGCAAAACCAGAGAGGACTTCTGGAGACTTGTCAGATTGCATGTTAAACCCTTCTTCCTAACCACAAGTAAGTAATACAGGCTCAAATTGGGAGACTTAGCCCAGAGAAGGACAAAGAATAAGTTAGACATTATTATCAGAGATAATTTTTGAAGCCCAGCATTACAGTGATCAGAGTGTCTAGATTAATGTTTCCCCACACATGCTGTATATAGCAAGTTTTAGAGCTAGCTTTTTTGCCTTAAGAAATAAACATCAAGGACATTTTCCCATGTCACCAGATTCAAGCTAATACTTTGAAACTCCTTGGGCCAACAGGTAAATTCTTCAGCAGTGAATTCACTCAATCACACGAAGCCCTTTCCCCAGACACCTGAGTCCCAGTGTGAAAGGCCTCAGCTTCTCTGTAACCAAAGGTAAGGAGTGAGGTTGCAGAAAAGTTTTGCTGCCTCTCCTCAACCTGTTCCTGCCGCTGTATGTATGGGTCTCGACAGGCCACATAGATGGCCACAGTGAATCACTCATACTGTTACATTTGTAGATACTCAAGCAGTCGTTCCAGGAGTATTTGAACAAAGGCTGTTGAGCACACCCCTCAGTCCTTTCCGCCCCGACCCTGACAGCCAGCAGACCTACTGCCATGGTGACAAGAGACAAGCACTCTAATTGTCTGAGCCCTGGCTCTGCCCTCTGAGTGGGAAGAAGGGGTTGGCAGTAGGTGGAAGGGAGATCGTGGGAGAGAGGGGGGAGGGGACTGGAGAGGAGGGGCATGTTGGTGGTAGGCCAGTCAGGATACAGAGGAGCTCTGCTAAAGGACTGTCCTACCACAGACTCAGGAGGGATGTGGGTGGCCTCCCAGGAAGGTGGCCTCCACATGAGGACAACAGGAGCCAGTTTCCCTGAATGCTGGCATGACCCAGTGGGGACTCCACTTCCTCCCACACCACCTTCTGAAGGCAGCTTCCTTGCCATGCCACCCACATTATTATCTCTTTCCAACCACACAACTCAGGTGGTAGAGCCAGTGACGCACGCCTCGGCCATCCTCCATCCCATCCCCCAGAGAGCTCTGGTACTGCTAGGCCAGAGGCCAGGGCAGCATGCGAGGGGTGCCGGCCTCTGCCACCAAGGAGCAGTCCTGTGACTGGGATTGAATAGGAGCTGAGCTCTCAGGTTGGAAAATGTTAAATAGAGCTTCACTCTATTTGACTGGTTGGGCGGGTGGGGAGGGGGGCGTTGTGCCAGACAATACCCTTAATATGATGTTATGAGAATGGCACCTTACCTCTATGGTCTTCTCAAAATCCCATCATCCCAGTCCAATCATGAGGAGAACATCAACTGGGGGACATTCTTCAAAATACCCAACAGCACTCCTCAAAACTGTCAAGGTCATCAAAAACAAGGAAAATGTAAGAAACTGTCACAGACAAGGGGAACCTAAGGAGACATGACAGCAAAATGTAACATGCTAGCCTGGATGGATGGGACCCTAGGTCCGAAAAAAATACACTAGGTAAAAATTAAGAAAACTCAAATAAGGGATGGACTTTTTTTTTTTATTGTAAATAATCTTTTTTTTTCCTGTTTATTTCCTTTTATTTAATTATTTTTTTTACAAATAGTTTATTGTCAAATTAGTTTCCACATAACACTCAGTGCTCATCCCCATAAAGGGATGGACTTTAATTAATAACAATGTATCAGCATTGTTTCAAACGTGCCATACGTTTGAAACATTGTGCCATACATGGCACATTGTGACAAATGTGCTATACCAATGTAAGATCGCACAATAAGAGCAACTGGGTATGAGGTACACGGTACCTCTTTGTGCTGCTATCTTTGCAAATTTTTTAAAAGCCTAAAACTATCCTTTTGTTGTTGTTTTTAAGTATGGTTGACACACGTTACATTAGTTCATGGCTATTGAGCCATGAAAAGACATAGAGGGAACCTAGATGTATATTACTAAGTTAAAGAAGCAATCTGAAAAGGCTACCTAATGTGCAATTCCATCATGACATTCTGGAAAGAGCAAAACTATGGAGACAGTAAAAAACAAACAAAAAACAACTAGTAAATGCCAGGGTGAGAGGGAAGAGGTGGACAGGTTGAATGGGGAAACACTAGGGATTTGTAAGGCAGCAAAACATATGGGAATATGACATTCTGCATATGTTAAAATCTGTAGAACTGTACAACAAAAGAGTGAACCCCCAGGTAAACCATGGACTTGAGTTCATAACATTGTTTCTCTATTGGTTCATTGGTTGTAACAATATACGACATTATATACAACAATAATACAAGACCAAGATGTTGATAATAGGGGAAACTACAAGATGGGGGGAGGGGGGGTTATATGGGAAGTCTGTACCATCTGCTCAATTCTCTGTAAACCTAAAACTCCAAAAACAGCCCATTCATTTAATAGTATTTAAAAAGACAGTGTAGGTAGGTTTGCTCTACGGCAATACAGACAGCTTAGCATCAGTGTCCTCCGATGGCCCTCTCCGCATTCACCTGGGTACCTGCCAGCCTCTGGAGCATGTGAGCTTGCAACCCCTGAGTAGCTGTGTCCTTCCCTTGAAACTCCTAGACTCTGCAAAGCATGTTTGAAAACCACTGGCCCGGCCAAGAGGACAGGGCTTTCCCTCCTTGTTGCTCTGGCCCAGTCCTGAGTCTATCATGTATCCCACACAACACCAAGCTCCCCTCCCAATTATGAGGCTCAGAACGCCTTGTTATTTCCCCAACCTCTTTTCTAGATCTCTTACATAGTTCGTTATTGGTAGAAATATCCTGCCCAGCAAATAGGAAGCTCCATCTCTAAGTTTTCTTTTGTTTCAAAGACAATGAAGTGTGTGTGTGTGTGTGTGTGTGTGTGTGTGTGTGTGTGTGTGTGTGTAAAGGCCCAGTACACACACTCCAAGGGCTATATGGTAGAAATAGACCATGCCTGCCAAGTGAAGTTCAGGACTCTGAATTTCAAAGTAAAGATCACCCATGGAAGCCTTTCTCAAAATCTTGCTCCCAGAACTGTACCCTAGGCCCCTTTGATGGCTGCTCACAGGAGGCTCTTTGGGGAGAGTACCCAGGGTGACCTTGGAGTGACAGATGCCCTGTCATCTCCAGTGGCAGCCAGTGCTCTGGTTGGACCTCCAGCCCTCAGCAGAAATAACCAAGTATCCTGAACAGAATTCGCTAAGACACCCCAGCTGTGAGTGGTTGGCACCCCTAAATTCCCTCCCACACAGCAGTCCAGATACCAAAAGATATAGGCAGAAAGTTTCCAATGGGTGAGAGGAAAGGTCCCTGCTACTACTGGAAAGGGACAGGTCTGGGGGCTCCACCTCTGACAAAGAAATCACCTGCCACATGCTTTCTAATGCTGGCGGAAAAGAGCTCATGGGCTCTAGCAGGGGTGAGGCGGGGAGGAGAGCCTGTCCTGGGTCATCGCTCCTTAGACATTTTCTGCGAACATCCCATAGTGTGCTTGTTGACATCCTTAAATTCCCTGAGGAGACAGCATTAGCTTTCTTCTCTCCCAGGAATAGTATCCTGTCATTTCCAAGAACCACACATAGTATCATTGTCCCCATTTTACAGATGAGAACACCTAAGCTCGGAGAGCTCAATTCACTTGCTCAGGGTCACCCAGCTAGTCAGTGGTAAGACAGGATTGGAACCCAGGCCTGTTGGTGTCCAGCCGCCCTGCTCACTCCTCACTCAATGACTGCCCTTGAGGGGCACCTGTATATTTTCTTGTTTAGTAAGAGGGCAGTTTCCAGCCCATATTCTGTGCTATTTCATACAACCTTGCTTTCTTTAGATTCTACCAAATGCCAGGCCCTCCTGCTTGGAGCCTCCCCTCTTTCAATGTGCCCACAGCCTGATTTGCCCAAGGGGCCAGGATTTTCGAAAAGGAAATCTACACTTGCTTACAAAGCCAGCCTCTGACTGAAAAAACCAGAACTCCCTGCCATCGGCCCCCACCATTTGTGTCGAGAACCCCTGAATTCAACCACTCATTTAACTAACTGAGGCACGAAAAGGAAAGGGATTGTTGAACCCTGCGGTTGGTAATGTGAAGGGCTACATTGCAACCCTGAACTCCAGGCTCCATTCTTCCCACCTCCCTCTCCCCTGCTCTCTCCCCACCTCCTCTCTCCTCTCCGCTTCACTCCTGCAATCCATTCTTCCCCATCCCCTTCCTCCACTTTCTCTCCCTACCCACATTTATCCCCATCCTACATTCCCTTTCTCCCTCTTTCTTCTTTGTTTGCTTTCCTGTCTAAGCTTCTTGCCCCTTCTCGCAGGCTCTCCATTAGCCAAGGCTGCCTTTTTGTATTGCTTGTCCATCTGTCCCCCCTGCCACCAGCCTTTACCGGCCCGCTTCTGTCAGAGAGTGCCCACAATGGAAGAAGTCTAAGAATCAGCCACTGGGCAAGGCCTCCTAGAATCTTCTTGGAGAACCACTATAAGAATCATGGCCCCTTCCAGCACCTACCTGTGTGAAAAGTAGGGCCGTGGCATTCCTGGACATTCCTTTTCCTTAGGTATTCCAGCTGAAGATAGTCCCTGGATGTGCTTGCCAAGACACCCTTAACCCTGAAAATCCAAGCCGTGGATTTCAGAGGTGTGCATCAGATCAGCCCGTTGGCCACATGCAAGGAGCCCCTTCTGTTTAGACTTTCACAAAGGATGTCTGAAAGAAATCTTCATTGTACTTCTTCCAATCAGCGGGCCCTTGAGCAAGGCAGCTCGTCCTTGGGGAATCTCGTCATCTCATCTATAAGATGCGTCAAGGTCCCTCTGATGCTATAATTCCATGAGCAGATAAATGCACCAGTGCCATTGAGAGCTGCTGGGGTGAGAGAGCGAGGGTCCAGCAGGCAGTTTCCACCGAGCTCCAGAGAGGCTGCTCTACATGGACTCACTGCGGACCCGGGGCGCCTGTGCCTGCAGGGTGATCACACTAAATGCACGACACTCTGGCAACCCAGGAGGCTTTTTATTAATACTACTTATTAATTCTTATTAAGAAAGAGGTAATTAATTCTGATGGCTGGTATGTTCTTTCTCCAAAAGGAATGTCAACATGAGAAATGAATGCAGTGTCACAGGCTGGTTGGTCAGGGAAGAAAACAAAAGTAATTTGTGGTATGATCCTAAGGGTTCAGAAACTTAGTTGCAGGGACACTTGAGCAGCTTCAGGACTGGAGGAGTCATCTCTCTCAGGAGCCCAAGCCTTCACATAACGCCATCCTCCTGAATGGTCCAGGCAACAGGCTGGGCAGCTGGGCCTCTGCAGAGGGTCCTAGATGCCCCATCTTTCCATAGTGTGATCATGACACCTTTCTGCCCTGTCCACTGTCCATCTATGCCCCTCTTCCACACACTACAGTGTGGCCCCTCAACAGTTTGTACCTGTGGATGCTCCCTGGAATCTTAGGCAATGATCTACTGGGAATGCACTGGGAATGCATTGGGTTAATGAGCCATTTGAATGCCAGTGACTTGACCTTGCAAGAGTTGCTACAGTTTCCAGACTGACTCTGACCTAGTGAAATGGAAGCACCTATGAAATGGAAAGCCCTCTCTCCCCTTCCGGAGGCCTGCACCAGGAATCATTAAGAAGGAGCCCCGATCATTGGCCACTGATCTCCAAAGAAAAGCATGCAGAGCCTGCCACCTTGTGGCTGCCTCTAGTTCTACAGCTTCTGTAACCAGACAGCACAGATCCTCATCTCTCCCCACCACCCAGTGGAGTCTGGGATGCAAGGAAAGAAACATGGGGATGGGAGGGATTCCCAGGCTCTGATTTCCTTTCCCGTTTGTTTGGCCCACAGTCTTGAACCTGTGGAGGCAGGCGCAGGGAGGGCTGAGCTGGGAGAGGGCAGAAGGCTGGAGCTGGGGAAGGGGCTGTACCCATGGGTGGGGGAGCAGGTTGTAGGGCCTGTGGAGTGCCTCAGACTGATGGTGCAGGCTAGGCAAAGCTGGTGGCCCTGTCTCACCCTAGCCCACCTCTCAGCCCGAGTGCCGCCATCTGTAAAGGAGAGTTCCAACCAGAGGAATGTTTAGGCCTCTCCCAGGTTGGATATGGTGTCTAGGCAGGACCATCCCAGAGAAGGGAGAGGATCCCATCATGTCACTGGCATCTTGGGACAGCTTTGGTGGCCGGCGTCTTCACCTCCCAAGGAGCACTGTTGGGTTCTGCTGTTTATAACCAGGAGTCAAAAGCAAGACACGCACATCAGGCAGCCTAGTTAAATGGGCCAAACTGCACCTCCCTGAGTGAGCCAGACACCTGTTGGGTCTGACTCATCATTTGGGACCAGGGGCTGGTTGTCAGTGTGGCCAGGAGTGAGCCATGCATCTCCTGCATGTGCTTCCTAAGAATCCCACAGAGCCAAGTCCAGTTAATAAAGTATCACGGCTGAGAAACGGATTCTGATGTCTCACAGAGTCATGGATCGGATTCAGACTCTACCACTAGCCAGCTGGTAACTTTTAGCCTTTCTTCAACCCCCCTAAACTTCCGTTGCCTAATCTATATAATGAGGATAATGAGGCAATTGAGAGGATTAAATGGCACGATGTTTGCAGAGCACTCTCCAGGATCCGGTGTGTAGACATAGGTGTCTGTAAATGACCGCTATTCTGCTACGAATGTGCACTATTCCTCCAAGTTAAGGGAAGAGTGACCCCAGCGGCAGTTGAGAGAGCATCCTGGCTGCCGCCTCCATTTCAAAAGGGGTAGTGGGCACTGCCTACTCATAAGCTCTGGGGGCAGGGCCTCCCAGCAGAACCGTGAGAGCACGAACCCTGCCCAGCAGAGTCCAGCAGGACCTTTGCCCAGTGGGTCCAGAAAACAGAGCTGTGCCCCCAGTGAATCCAGAAGGCAGAACATTGGACCAGAGAGGATTATTCTCAAGCCTCATAGAGTTTGCATTGCTAGATTTTGAACTTGCCTGGGACCCATCACCCCTTCCTCCCTTCCTCCCTTCCTCCCTTCCTTCCTTCCTTCCTTCCTTCCTTCCTTCCTTCCTTCCTTCCTTCCTCCCTCCCTCCCTTCCTCCCTCTCTCCCTCCCTTCCTCTTTCTCCCTTGTGGAATGGAATGTCTAACCTATGCCTATCCTCCACTGTATTTTGGAAACACACAACTCATCTGCTTTCACATGTTCACAGCCGGTGAGAAATTCCGCCTCAGAGTGATTCGACTTCCAGTCTCACCTATCTCTGATTTAGATGAGACTTTGGACTTTAGAGTTGATGCTGGGATGAGTTAAGCCTTGGAGGCTAGTGGGATGGAGGGAACCTGTTTCACATGTAAAAAGGACATGAATTTGTGGGAGGTAGAGGGGTTGGGGGCAGGGACAGAATGTTATAAACTGAATGCATCCTCAAAAAATTCATATGTAGAAACCTAATCCCAGATGCAATGGTATTTGAAGGTGCATCTTTAAGTCACAAGGGTGGAGGACTCATTGATGGGATTAGTGCCTTTGTAAGAAGAGGCCAGAGAGCTAGCTCACTCTCTTTCTGTCCTGTGAGAACACAAGAATTTGGCAGTCTGCCAGAAGAGGACCCTGTGAGAACATGACTGTGCTGTATCCTGATCCCAGCCTCCCAGCCTCCAGAACTGTGAAAAACAAATTCCTATTATATCATCACATCACCGTCTCTAGGGTGCAAGGACCCTCTTGCTGGCTTGAAGGTGGCCATGCTTTTGCTGTGTCCTCACATGGTAGAGAGACAGAGAGAGAGAGAGAGAGAGAGAGAGCTCTGATCTCTCTTCCTCTCCTTATAAAGATACCAGCACCATCTTGGTGGCCCCACCCTTAGGACCTCCTCAAAACCTCATTACCTTCCAAAGGCTTCACCTCCAAATGCCATCACATTAGGTGCTAGGGCTTCAACATATGAATTTGGGAGACACAAACATTCAGTCCATACGGCTCCTAAATATCAACTTAAATTTCTCTTCTGGAAATCTCCTCCCAGACCTTTTCCTTTTGTCATTTTCCCTTGAAGTGATGTGAATGCCAGGAAAATCTTGCCCTCACCTTGCCCCATCCTGCACAGCCGGGAGCCCAACAGCACCAGCACATCCCTGAAAGACAGGTCTGTCTTCTCCCTCCCATGCCTGTGGCAGCCCTGGCCGTGAGTGGAATGGGTCAAAATTGCCAGTTCTCTTCTCCCACAGCCTGAGGGGCCTCATGTCCAGTGGATGCACAGACACAGCCCAGGACTGGCCTCTACCTTGACACCCCAGGAATACCCTGAAGTCTCTCACAGATGCTGAGTCCCAAGGCAGGGGAGTTTTCTCCCAGGGGTCTCTGCAGCCCTGTGCGGGCAGAATTGCTTCAAGTGTCCATGTAAATAGATGTACCCAGGGCCATTAAAGGAAGAAAGAGCCAGCCCACCCCAGCCATTCCAACATAGCCCCATTACAGGGTCCCCAGGCTGGGAAGGGCAGAGAGTTGACAAGCCTAGCTAGCCTCAGCCCTGTGAGCCATTCACTCCAGACCGAACAAAGCTGTCAAGGCCTCTCCCCAGCAGTGCCCTTGATGCCTTCGGACTACAATACCTGAGCACCCTTCTTCACCTGGCAGACCGTGCTCACCTCTCAAGTAGTCTGAGGGGTAAGGTCCAGCCATGTCCCCTGCTCCAAGCCCAGACAGAAGGAACAGCTCTGTGCAGTCTCACTGGAGCACTTGTCACAGACTGCAGCTGGATGCCAAGACAATTACTTGTGATGGTGAACAGCCCCTTATTGTAGACAGTCCTCACTGCCTTCTGAGAGAGTGGATACTATCACCTGCTGTGTGGAGGCACAGTATGAAGATGGATGAGGCTTGCAAGCCAGGAGGGCACTGCTTTGAATTTTCCTGGGGGGATACTGGTTACTGGTTGGAAAAAGAGGAGGGAGAAAGGCACATGCATTCTTACCTTTTTAAAAAGGATTTCTTGGAAGGCCCATACTACTTCTCTTAAATCTCATTGGCTGGAACCTGGTCACCTGACCACACATAGCTGCAAAGGAGGCTGGGAAATGTAGTATTTTTTTTTCCAGTCATGGCAAGTTACTCAGCTAACGACTGTGGTTTTGCAGAGAGAGGGGAGAATACTTATCTGCCCCAGAAACTAGCTAAGCTATGATTGAGGGTAGGGATGCACTGGGGAGATGTCCCTAACGGATGTGCCCTCTATGTTGGGTGCTGAAGGAGACAGTCAGACCCCAAGTGGAATGGGCTTGGTTTAGGGAAGGGGAGAGGTGGTGGGTGCATCAGGGATGGATGCTGAGACAAAGCATATTCGACCCTGCAAAGATCTTGAGGGGAGAGAAGTCTGGGGAAAGGAGACAGCCAAAGCCAAAGCCATTGAGTAAGAGAAGAAGAGAAAGAAGGGCAGGGCTGGGATGTCTGGGTCAGTTGAGCATCTGACTTTGGCTCAGGTCATGATCTCACAGTTTGTGAGTTCAAGTTGCACGTTGGGCTCTGTGCTGACAGCTCAGAGCCTAGCACCTGCTTCAGATTCTGTCTCCCTCTCTCTCTGCCTCTCCCCCACTCCTACTCTGTCTCTCTCTCTCTCAAAAATAAATATTTTTTTAAAAACTTAAAAAAAGAAAAGAGGAGCACCTGGGTGGTTCAGTCAGTTAAGCATCCGACTTCCACTCAGGTCATGATCTCACTGTTCATCCACATCGGGCTGTGCTGACAGCTCAGAGCCTGGAGCCTGCTTCGGATTCTGTGTCTCCCTCTCTCTCTGTCCCTCCCTGACTCACACTCGGTCTCTCCCTCTTTGTCAAACAAACATTAAAAAAAAAATTTATTTTTAAGAAAGAAGGGCAGGGTAGCTGGAGTGTGGTAGTAGACCGGAACCCAGATCACACTTGAAGAGAGTCTGAATTTCACTCCAAGTGAGGAGAATCCACTAACTGGGTTAAGCCAGAGGAGGGGGATGTGATGAAGGGGTCACTGTGGCTTCTGTACAGTGGAGGGGTGAGAAGGCAGACTGCGGTCCCACAGCCTCCTGGGTGAGATCCGGTCACTGAACATGGAAAGCACTTTGGAAAGGCATGGAGTTCAAATGTAAGGTGCAGTGATGTGTGACATGTGCTTGTCCACAGCATCCCTGAGAAGCCAGCATCATCTGTCCCTCTCACTGGGGACAGCCAGACTGACTCCGACATCCTGGCATTCATCAAGGCCAGACAGAGCATTCTGCAGAAGAAATGTAAGTGCACCTTCCTCCTCCTCCAGGGCCACAGGTCACCCGGTTCTGCTCACCAACCCTTGAGGGAAAAGCCAGAGGGAAAAGCAAAAGGGAAGGCCAGAGCCAGAAGGGAGCTTCCTGCATATTCCTGAAACCACAGGACTGAGCTTGTGGTCCTTTCACACATGCCCGGCCTCAGCTTCCTCCTGGAAAAAGCTCCAGGAGACAGCATCACAAACACCAAGACAGGCCCAAGGGGGTGGCGGGCCCAGGTGCTCTCGCCCTGCTTGTCAGAACCTCCCTCCCTCCTCAGGATCTTCAGCTCCTTTGTTCTGTGTCCTCAAAGCCAGTTCTCCTTTGTCTAGCCTTCTCCATATGGGAAGCGGCTGAGTGATGGTTTGGTAACTTGAATCCCTAGCTAGAAACATCACTCTCCTTTTGGAGCGTGGTTCTTGCCAATGAGTTGTAGATGTAAACACCACTTGAAAGCTCAGGCCTGAGAACACTGCTAACAGTTACAGAAGAAATACTTGTGTTGTGTCAGACCACAGGACGAGGCAGAGAAGGCCCCTCCGGGCCTTTGTGACCCACCTTCTTCCTCCTGGCAGCTGACCCCTGCTGTGGTCAGGCCTTCTCTTCTCCTGCTTCCCTTCTCCCCCAGAGACCCACAGCAATGAGACCCAAGACTCTGCCCTGGCCCTGTGTTTAACCTTGTCCCAATAAGCCAAAGGCTACCAGACAGGTTGAGCATTGCTTTCCCATGTCAACACCTTGACGGATGAAATGCCAGACTTGGATCCTATAATGACTGACACCTGCCCCAAGAGGCCCACAGTCAGTTTCATGGCCAACTGTCTGCAGTTGAGACACTAGGAGGTCTGCACATGAGGGTGGAGTGCCCAGGCAAAGGATGGCCTTGCCATGTCATCCTCACCCTCCCTGAGATGCCAGCCTGTCCACTGTTCTCTCTCCACTCCTGGGATCAGCAGCACTGTCAGGTCTCCCCAAGACCTGTATTTATTGGGCACCTTCTGTATGCCAGGCACTGTATCGGTGCTGGGGCCATAGCCATGAACAAGATGGAGTCAAGATGGTGTTCTGGGGGTGGGGAAGAGATAGATGATGAATGAACACACCAGCAAATAGAGAAGATCATTTGAGGTGGTGGTAAGAGCTGTGAAATAGCTAAAATCTATAATGTTGTAGAGAGCCCCCAGGGAAGACTGCCATTCGCTGGGGCAAGGGCAGAGGCAGGGGCTCCCTAGAGAGGAGAACCTTGAACCAGTAGCTGAATAGTAAGAATGGAGTGGCCATGCAGTGTCCTGTGAGCAAGCGTTCCAAGCAGAAGGAGCAGAAGGTGAACAGCCCTGGAGGGAGCTTTGCTTGGTCACAGGATGGGAAGGAGACCTGAATCGCTGAGGGGCTCAGCTCAAGAACAGGAGCCAGATCAACAGGCCTTGTGGACAAGGCCTTCTATTCCAGGTGTAGTGGGAACCCACTGAAGAATTTAAGCCATGGTGTGATGTGGTCTGCCTGGGGCGTTGGCAAGCTGACTCTGCCCATTGCACACAAGCAGAGGTGGTAGAGGCCCAGGAGTAGCATAGTCATTCAGCTCCTGGGGAGGTCCAGCAAGGGGTGAGGGCAGCCTGGACCTCACAGGCGATCAGACATGAGTCATGAAGGAGAGAAGAGCCGGCAGGCTCATGGGCACCCGCAGAGCAGCTAACAGGATGGGGATGCCATTGGCCAGAAAGCAGGGAGGGTGGGCACCAGAGGGAAGTTGCTGGGGGAATTCAGATTTCCGGCTGGCCCATTCAAAGTTTCAGAAGCCCTTTGAGACCTCAGAGGAGATAAGTAGGCCCCTGAACACGAGTCTGGAGCTCAGCGGCGAGGCCTGGATGGAGTATAGAGCCATGCACTGGGTGAAATTCCTGTTAAGGAGAGCAAATAGGGTTATTTGTGCCCTTGGGGCACTCCGACATTTGGAGGTAAACAGGAAGATTCAGCCAAAACTACTGAGAAGGCACAGCCAGGGCAAGAGAAGAGCCCGCAGGGGAGTGAGTGTGGCCTCAGGCAGGCCTGCAGGAGAACATGGTCCAGGGGAGATGGGCTGGTGGAGCCCAGAGCTTCTGGAAGGCTAAGCAAGGGTGGGACACTGCCTGGTGGCCACTCTGCATGTCACAGGGGCCCTGGACAAGCACCCTGTAGGCAGAGACCTGAGAGAATAGAGGAGCCATTGTGGTGGTTGAGGAGTGAAGCAAGGCGTGAAAGTAGAGATAGTGGAGTGGAGACAGATGACCCAGGGGCTTAGCTGGGAAGAGGAGCCGCCAGGAGCTGGGGCTGAAGGGAAGCGGTGGTTGCGAAGACACGTTTGCCTACGGAGAGGAATGATCCAGGAGAAGAAAGGAGGCTGGTGGTATGGAGAAAAAGGCCAAGGCTGCAGGGGAAATTCTTCAAGGAAGGAGACCGCATGGCGTCTGGGACATAAAGTGGACGAAGAACCCCCTCCCCTGGAACAAATGCGTAGCAATCAACCATCATCCGTCCCCTCAAGGAGTCTACACGTCAGAAACATTGATTGTTTACCCAGCTTTTGCCCACATAAAGACGCTATTTCCAACCGTCTCGGACAAGAAGAGGCATAAACCCAAGGTCTATGTCAAGATGGCACACTCCTGCTAACTCCATTACGCATATGACACAGAAAACTGTACTGAAAGGTAGGGTGCTCTAAGTGTACAGAGTCAAGAGTCTGATCCCCTTTTTGACAGGAAGGGAAACTGAAGCACACAGGGTTGAATAACTCGCCCAGCTAACAAATGGCGGAGCAAGGATAACCCAGGTTTTCTGTGCTCTCTCCACTTGGCCACGCTGTCGTGAAACGCCACTCTGCGGTCGGTCGGGTGTTTGTCTCCTGGCTTCCACCCACCCTGCAGCTGGGAGCTTTGTTCTCCAAACAAACAGCCTGGAAGTAATTCATCAAAACAAAAGTTCAAGGGTTTAATTTTTATTCTTCAGGGGGAAAAAAAAAACCCAATCTTGGGTTCTTAGTGGCCGTGAGGCTGCAAAGGAAGCTGAAGAAGGGTGACAGGGGTTCCGCCAGGTCAGGGCCAGAGGGCCAGCAGGTGCGGCCTCCCCTGACGTGCAGCAGATGGCCAGGCCCCACCACGCAGCACTTTCCACACAGCCCACTTATCAGGCCTCCCTGTCAGGCAAACACATAGGCCGGGCCCCGGGCACCTTCCCCAGCCAAAGCAAACACTTCCCTCTCCCCTGCCCTGGGCTCCCTCTGCTTTTAATTTAGTGGCGCTGTCTGTCTGGGCTTCTTCAGGAGTGCTCATTATGGGGAATTTGTGACTATTAGCCTAAGAGCGGGAGCCCAGAGAGGGTGATTTAGCGTAAGCCTCGCCTGCCGGCTCACACACTTCACCAAGGGCCGGGATGAATCTAGTTGATTTAGGATTCATGGAAAACCTGTGGAACATTTAAATCCCTGCCAGGGGCACGTGTGGACAGGTATATATCCCCCGTATGGGGCGTTCATCATCCACGAAGTCAAATCTGTTGTTTCCACCTGCCAAGGATGGCTTTAAAATCTGAGACAATGAGGTTAACCCCTTTCTAGAGCGCTTTTTTTTAAAAGGCCTTCCTTAATCCCTGAGTTTGAAACTGTTTCCATCTGGACAGGAACCTTGGTGTGACCCCCATGGCCCCTCTTCTCCAGCCGGTGCCAGGCAGAGCCCCCTGCCAGCCTGGACGCTCCCGTCCCCACTCCGAGAAACCCCCCAAGCTCTCCGCTGGGCAGGATCTGTCCCAGGGAAATGGAAAGACCCCAGAACCGGGAGGGAGGAGGCCTAAATGCGAGACTCCTTGACCCTTGGCCCTGTGTGGCCTTAGGCAGGTCACCTCCCCAGCCCCTTCACTCATCTGTCAAGTTCAGAGTCTGCCTTCGTCAAGGTGGCCAGCTTCTCCTGAGATAATGTCCATAAAAGTCCCTCGTACATGGCCAAGCACCACGGAGCTGTTAGCGGGAAATTGGCCTCTGGTGAGAACTGGCCCAACACGGTGAGGAGCGATCTCCTTTCGGTGGCTTCTCTGTAGCAATACCCTCTAGTCTGGGAACCTACGGTCACAAAATCCCAGTGTAGACTGACAGCTCTGTCACTTCACTGGGGTTCGTCAAGTAAAGAAATGGCGCCTTTTCTGCTGGGCTGAGGTCTGGATCTGTGGTGCTCCTCCTCAGCCGCACCCCTGCCCTGGTCACCACTGCAGGCAAGTGTACGTGGGATACAGTGACCATCCTGGGGCAGGAGCTGGCTCAGATCCTATGCTCCTCCCCACTGGTAGCGCTGACTCGTCTGGCCCAGGCTGCTCATCAGTGGTGCAAAGGGAAGTGCCAGAGCCAGGAAGTGCCCAGGAGCCACATGCCTGCTGGTCCCCGGTACCTGCCCTCACAGCCCTTGGAACAGAGAGCCCACGAAAGCAGTGGGTTTCAGCCCTGGCTCCTCATTGGTGTCACCTGGTCCCCTACCACCACCACGAGATTCTGATTTAATCTGTCCTGGGAGTGGCCTGGGCATTGGGATTTCTAAAGGTTCCCCCCACCCACCCAAGGGTTTCCAATGCACAGCAGAGCTGGGAACCATGGGTCCAGAGTGACCAGAGTGCATCCCCTTCATGTGCACTGGTGGGCCCGGTGTTCTCCCTTCCGGCTCTGTCATCTAGAACAGCTAGGAATGTCTGAAAAGTAAGGACCATCTTCACTTAATTGAACAGCCTAGGGTCTTGCACTTAGAATTAGATCTGAAGGACCAAGGGCTCGTAGCCTTCAATTGTTTTCAACCTCTGCCTCCCTGTCACCTCCCACGTTCAGTGCAGCACAGAGATTTACTGGTTCTTCCTCAGTGATGTCAGGCAGACCATGACCACAATCCTCCCCCACTCGCTGCCAGGTCCCCATGCCCGCACCCAGATGGCTGCAGCTGCCCCACTTCTCAATCTCTCTGCCCTCTGCAGGTGTTTTTAACACTGTGTTCCCAAGCCCTTTTGCTCTTATTAAGATAGCCAAACTTTAAGCGAATTAACTGCATGTCACTCATACCATTTCTTCTCACACATTAATGTGCCAATAAATCTAGGGGTTAAAGTGCAGATTCTCGTCCTGTAAGTCTGGGTAAGATCTTAGATTTGGCACTTCTCAGCAGGCTCCCTGGGAATGCCAATGCTGCTGACCCACGGACCACACTCTGAGAAGCAGGGAGCCATGCCAGCTACCTTTCTTCTACCAGGCACCTCATCTGCTCCATCAATCTGGGTATTTGGAAAGTAATACCCAGAGAACTAATATGATTTGCCCATGATTTGCACCATGGGATGGGGACCATCCTGGCTAGACCTCAGGGGCCCTGGTTCTTAGTCCAGATAACCTACTCCCTCCCTGTCCAGCCATGGGAGGTGACAGGATGGGCCACGGTGCTCAGGTGAAATATAATGAATATAAGGAGCAAAAAGAGAATCTCTTGGAGAATTTGGTAGCGATGTCAATGGGGCTGAACAATGACTATTGGTCCTGGCTCAGGGAGAGGGCAAAGGAGGCATCATCCTTCACTGCTGGGGGAGTAAATGCAGCCCCTAGGAGTCTGGGCACAGAGAGACACACTGCCAAAGACCCAAGGGGTCTGCCGTCGCCTCCCCGTGCACTTCAATCAGGGAGAAATCAGTGCCCCCATGCACAGCCTAACCAAGAACACCCTGTCTCTTTTCAGGTTTCCAGTAAGCATCCGGCCGTGCCCTGTGCAGCAAGAACAGAGTATGGATGAAGGAAGGCGCCTTTTCTCACTCACCCTGGCTGCAGATGTGATCTGTGGACTGCTGGGAGCAACTAGTGATTTGGGTTCCAAGAGAGAGAGCTGTGTTTCCTTAAGTATGGTGTCTGGAGGCTGCCAGTGAGGCTGGGGCTTCTTGCGCCACCCGTGCTGTGGGTGCTGGGGCTGTTGGCCAGACCAAGCAATGCCAGGGTGCTAAGGGGTTAAGATAAGGGCTTCTGCTCACTCCTGTAGTGGTTGATTTTAGACCTTGGAGATGATGAAATAGTACCATCATAATGTAGTGGCAGGGGAAGCTCATGCTGGTAGAATATGGAAGAAATGACAATCTGTTATTTTTAGCTACCTACCAGCCCACTCTCTGCCCCACCCCCTGGTGTAGGAGCCCAGGAATGGCTGGGACAAGCCAGGCAGGACGTTGCGGCCAAAGACAAAGCAGTGGAGCCCAAAGCATCCTGATGGCCAGTCCTGATCTCCCAAACCAAACCTTCCACCATCACCCTGACGGCCCAGATGAACCATATTTCCAGGGAGTCACCTACCCTGCAGGGTCCAAGGACATCGTTGCACCCTGGGAGCGGTGGATGGCTCCTAGGAGCTCTGCAGAGAGCATGGGAGGGGCAGTGTGGGCACCTTGGGCCTCACACCCTCACCCAGCCTCTTGGGGCTCTGCAGGACTTGGGCCAAAACTCCCCAAAATCCCACCAGGAAGACAGAGCTGCTGGGGGCTTGCCTCAGTGAGCGTTGCAGCACTCCATGGCCTGGCTGCAGGATACAAACCCAGCGGAGGGTGGGCCAGCCCTCAGGAGGCCCTCCAAGGGCAGTGGTGCCAAGGTCCCAAGCCAGCAGTAGATGGGGAGGGGTGTGGAGTGGGGAGAGGAAGGGCATTTGAAATGAAACTAACTGAATAAAAGTGTTTGTCTACCACTCCTGCTCTCTCTGTCTTATGAATACAGGACCTGGCACCCTGGAGAGAGAGCAGAGAGAAAATACATCAAATTGGCTTACTGTCCCCCCACCCCAGGACTAGGTAAAATGATCATGCAAGGGCTTGTTCGTGGCAAAAGTCCTCTCCTCCCTGGCTTTCCATGACCACCCAAATAGAGCCACCCCCTAGTTACTCTCTATCCCATTTCTCTGTTTTTCCTCATCACCGCCTGACATATCATCTTTCTTTATTTGCTTATTTTTTTTATGGCCTGCAACCCCTCCCCCAAGACTAAAAGCTCCATGACAACAAGGACCTATATGTCTTGCTCATCACTATGTCCCCAGCACAAGTTGGCACTCAGTAAATACTCCTTCAATTAATGAGTGGCAGAGACAGAACCCAGACTTCTCGGGCTGGTGTCTGGCCCACACCTTAACTCTGGCTCGGTGACTGAGGCCCATCGGGCAGGGTCCAGCCTCCCTGATCCACTGCTGGTCCTCATAGTTCTGTGGCACATAGTAAGTCCTCAATAAAGTCTGTAGAACCTAGGAAGACCCAACAAAGCCCTTATAGCCAGATCCTCGAAGCCTCCTCGAGTCCACAAGCCACACATGTAACACAAACACACTCTCAAAGAGTCCTGAGGAAGCATGGGGTTGGCCAGAGTTCCTCGGAGACAGCCTCCGTGTACCTGGCACACCTTAGTGCCCTCAGCCATTTAGAGCTGGTTAGAGTCTATTGACTTTAGATCTCCTGCTGAGAACTTATCTCCTGGATCCAAAGGCCTTATTGACAGAGATGTGTGGTATGCCCCATGCAGGGTGTGAACCTGCCTCCCATAGCAATCACTGAAGGCAGGAGAGGAAATGAAGAAGAGAGAAAAACAGACAGCTGGGCCTGGTGCCTTGCCGAGGGAGCTGTATACAAAGTGTATACAGCAACTGGAGAGGGACCCCCCCCCCACATGTCCCTTCCCAATGGAAGCTGGACCTTTGATGTGGACACATGCTTGACCACAGTACATCTTCCACAAAGTTCACTGGCCTTTAAAATGGGAGAAATGGATGCAGTGCTCTGAAAAGACTCTCCGGCAATCCTGAGCTCCATGGGGCATCTGAGTTCACTCCAGGCCAAACTGCAGAGCTTTCCAAAACATCTTCTGGAAAGCAGCCTGGCCAGGGACTCCAGCCCAGTCCCTACTAGAATTCAATTTGCTCTGCTATTCACTTGACAAGAGATGTTGGGAGGAGGACTGTTTAGAATGTGGCTTGCTCAGATCTTGCCATAGGGATTTTTAGGAAGCAGAGAAACTGTGGTAGATTGAATAACCAGTCTGAAGACTTTGCCCCCTGAAATAGAATTATACACCCAAAGCTTTGCCACAGCCTCGTGGAGGCAGGGTATTCTTTCCTACCCCTTAAATTTGGGATTGACCCTGTGACTTGCCTTGGTCAATGGGATGTTAGCAGACATGATGCAAGTGGAAGCTTGACATGACCTTGCATGCTCGGGCTCACCTCTTGCACTCCAGGGATCTGCCTTGAGAAGAACATGCCCTGGGTAGACGCTGCCCCTTCAGCCTAGATCCCAAAACATACAGAGAGCAGATCTGAGCCCAGTCTACAGCCTGGAGCCAAGGCCAGTGGACCTGGAGCCTGGAGCAGAGCCTTCCCGTCAAGCCCAGCCCAGATCAGCTGAACCCTGGCTGACCCAAAGACCCAAAATCATGAGAATAAATGCTTGTTGTCATAAGTCACTAAGCCTTGGGGTGATTTGTTATGAAGCGTTAATTGTAGCCATAGGTAACAGATACAGATATTGAAACCCAGAAATGGTGTGTGACTAGATGCAGAATTTCTCAGAGTTCACTCTTTCCGTCCATGGTGCTTACTGAAAGGGTGAGAGTAAGCTGTCTATGAAAAAGTAAGACCACCATTTATGGCCATGATAGAGCAACAGGGGCCTGATTTACCCTCCTGCTTTAAATAATTGAAAATGACAAAATGTATAAAACAATAAAACACTGGAAAAAGCAGTACAGGACATTGACCCCCAAGAGAAGGGAAACAAGTGAGGTGAACCCTATAGTTGCCCAACTTACAGCTCCTCACAGTGCTTAGGCCACAGTCCTGGAAGAGGGCACCAGGTGGCGCCCAGTGGTTTTCTGAATTAAGGAATTAGGGCCTGGAGCTCAGGAGGCAAAGCCAAGTACAAGAGACCAGTGAGCTGCAGACAGAGAGAGTGGACACACTCCAGAGATCTCTAGAAGGTACTCTCAAGGCTTCAGCTAACTGCTAGGCAAGGCATGTGGGTGAGGAAATTACTCAAGGCTGGGGAAAGAACCACCATAAAGAAGCAAGTGGAAAATCTTCCAGAAATAACACAGGGCTGGGAGTACTTCATGCTCCCAACAGCCACAGTGGAGAAACCTTCTCACAATAAAGTCATTGAACAGAAAACACATAAGGTATTGCCTTGGAAGTGGCACCAAAGTAGCCATAGATCAAAGCTATTCTGGTCCCACCTAACAACATCTAAAAAGTAAGCCTCAAGAGAGTCAAACTGTTTTCAGTGAGTTTCCAAACAGAGCTCAAAAATATTTAAAGGAATAAAATAAAAATCTAACACCCAACCATATAGAAGGGACACTGGTAGAAAAAATTACCAAGGATGCAAAGGAGCAGAAAAATATGATTTGTAGAAGAAAAACCGACTGATAGAAATAGAAACAGACCCAGGAATGACACAGATGATTGAATAAGTAGACAGGGACATTTTTTTTTAATGCAATGGGTGTGTGTTTAAAACACAGGCAAGGGATGCCACATGGGTGACTCAGTCCACTAAGCGTCTGACTCGATTTTGGCTCCGGTCATGATCTCGAGGTTTGTAAGATCGTTAGATCGAGCCCTGTGGGCTCTGCACTGACAGCACAGAACCTGCCTGGAATTCTCTCTCTCCCTCCCTCTCTCTCTGCCCCTTCCTCTCTCTCTTTCAAAATAAATAAACTTTTGGGGTGCCTGGGTGGCTCAGTCTTAAGGTTAAGCATCCGACTTCAGCTCAGGTCATGATTTCAGTTTGTGGGTTCGAGCCCCATGTCGGGCTCTGTGCTGACAACTCAGCCTGGAGCCTACTTCGGATTCTGTATCTCCCTCTCTCTCTGACCCTCCCCTGTTCTCTCTCTCTCTCTCAGAAATAAATAAAACATTTTAAAAAAGAATTAATTAAAATTAAAAAAATTAAAAAACAATAAAAAACAAAATAGATAAACTTTTAAAATATATGTATAGGCAGAAAGATGCCTCCTGTAATTCCTTAAATGTAAACATGACTCATCCATCTGGTCATTCTTTTAACAAGGATGTACCATCCACTGTGCTAAGTTCCAATGACTCAGAGGTGACCAAGACAGAGAAAGTGCCAGCCCTCTTAGAACTTACATTCTAGGGGCACCTGGGTGGCTCAGTCAGTTTGGCGTCCAACTTTGGGTCATGTCATGAACCTGTGGTTCATGAGTTCGAGCCCCACATCTGGCTCTGTGCTGACAGCAGAGCCTGGAGCCTGCTTCAGATTCTGTGTCTCCCTCTCTCTCTGCCCCTCCCCTGCTCACCCTCTCTCTGGAAAATAAACATTAAAAAATTTTTTAAGAACTTATATTCTAATGAGGGAGATGGACAACTAACAAATAAGGGAATCTGAGCTAAGACAGAGTTGAGCTGGGATAGGATGGGCCTGGGCTCACTGTCAAGGTGGGTAAGAGTGTGAGATCCAGGGACAGGTTCAGAGAGGAAGGTGGGAGAGGCAGGTTTAGGAGTAGGATGGAGGGTCAGGAATTCAATGACATGAAGAGGCGTGGGGCTGAGCAGTCAAATAGGAACATAGAACATAGCAAATAGGAGGTTTGGGGGGTGTGAGCCGTCTAGAATATAGGGGGAAAGAGTATTTCATGACATGTGTCCAAGGGTCTGCCAGGGTAATAAGGCAGAGGAGATGTGGAAAGTTTGGCTGTGAATGTTAGAAATTGAAAATGTATGGGTAAAATGTGGGAGGAAGAAATAGCCTTCTCCTGTGTGGAAAATGGCCTCTAGCTATGGTCCTGGATGTTTCGGTGAGGGCAAGGGAGGAGGCAGCAAGCTTTTGGGGGGTTAACTGCTTTAGTTCTTTGGCCAAGTGCCAGCAAGCAAGGCTGAGCTCATTTTATGCACATTGAGGCGGAACTCAGAGCAAGGAGCAAAAAAAAAGCTGGTGAGGGATCCCTCCCTCTCACTTCACTCAACCTCTTGTCTTGAGAAGGCAGCCCTTCCCTAGACCAGCCCCCCTCCCCTTCACTCCCAGTCCCAGGTATGAGAAGCTCATGTCATCTCTTCTCTGAAGTATCTTTTGTGTTTGCTTTTTCCATCAATTCCCTTATAGCCTAGCAAGGAGATGCCCTCAGCCATGACTCAGAGAGCCCTGAACTTTGAAGTGCCTTGCCAGAAAGATTCTAAGTCTCCTTCCAGTGCTGGGACGTGCGATGGCCAACAGTGCCATCCATGCAGGCCACCCCGAGCCCTGGCCAGGTCCATGTGGACCTCATTCCCTTTCCTCCCTTAAGGTCACACTTGCATGGATTGGTTGATCAGATGCCCCAAGGTGCTCCAGGATTCATGCCTACGGATTTGTGCTGGGGCCCCTCGGTCAGTCCCTGGTTCCAGAAGAACAGCCTGGCGACCTGACCATTTCATCAACCAGTCCAGCATTTCCTTCATGGCACTGCTCGGGACTAGACTGCAGGGATGGTGCCGACCTGCTGACTTGAGTGACTCTCACATAGGATAAGTATCAGACATAGAACAAAGAATCTTCACACGCACTGAATGAACAACAAACAAATCCATGAGTACCTGTTCTCTACGATATTCTAAATCTTCACCAGTAATCATTATACCTCACATGGACTCATGAACTTGGCAGTTTTAATCAAATTCTTTATATAGACAGGAGCTTA